TAGTAGTCCATAGCTGTAAACATTATCAACTTAAATAAATACTTTAATGAAGCTATCATTTTAATTATGGTAAATCAATTTTCCAAAGTAATAATAAAAATGCTCATAACTGATCAAATTGTGATCAAAATACAACAAATACATAATGTCACATTACTTCAGCATTAATTCCTTCCAGTACAGCACCGCCAGTATCAGTCCTACCAATAACGTCTTTTAACTTATCAAATAATTGTAGAGTGTTTGGTTGAGATGAGCTCTTAGGTAGGACAATGGTTGCTAGGCAACTTGTGGTACCTCCCATTGGCAGACGAGAGAGTGTGTAGCCTATTCATAGTGACATTAAATAATAATTTAAATTATTTTTTGTGATATACCTGGGTTTGACCAGAAATCTATCACATCATTGGTTCCACCTATACATGTACATAGAGGTAATAGTAATAGTGATTACGAGTAAAGAAGATTGAATATTCATAGTAATATGTCTTAGAAAAAACACATATATACATGTGTATGTACTGTATAGCAGAAAATTTTGGAAGGACTAAAATTTGGTGAATTGCTAAATTTTGGTGATTGGCAAATTTTAATTTGGCAAATTTGTGGCCATGTGCCATTGAGCATGCGTATAATGGCTCAAAATGGTGGATTTTTATTTTGGCAAATGGCTATCAGTATCAAAACGCCAATTTACCAAATTTAAGACCCTCCAAAATTTCCCACTACAAGGTATGTCATCTTATGTTATGAGCCGATTTAAATTCTAATCAAAATAAAATCTTTATAAATTTTTAATGCTTCAACAAAATTTGTCAAAGGTCGTGAACAAAAATGGCTAGAAAAATTCCTAATTTATAATTACAATTTAAAGGTATATTGCCTTACATGTAGCTGCTACACACTATATATGAGTATAGATCTACCTAATCCATGAATGTGTAAGTCAATGAAGCCAGGAGTCAATAAATGAGTCTTAATCACATCTTTAACTGTTGGTGGGCGAGTACTGGTAATATCAGTAATGGTATCTTGTACTATACTGACGTATACTGGCCCTTTCTTTAGCTCTCCTCCAGGCAGAACAACCTCCTCAGCTTCTATTATTGTTGAAGCAGCTCGAGTCGAAGCATCCATACTGATAGCTGAGCTTCAGAATCTGGTTTAATTAATAGCGTGGGCGGCTGGGCATGGGGCTAGGTTAAAATCATAGCTGAAGGGAAAGATCCCGTTGTTGCTGCTGTTTAAGTTTAAAGAATTTGTTAAATATACAAGACATGTGAGGGATCAGTATTATTATTTTTGCTGTGAATCAGGAAAAAAGTATAAAAAGGGAGAATTCTCTCATTTTCATTTTTGACAAAACTTGGCCAAAATCTTTGTGAAACCATGGGCTATCAAATTAGCTGTTTTTAAAAATGCTCATAAGTTGATAAATATTTGTTGGAATAAGCTCAAACTTTCTACACAGCATAAGTGCATCAATATGTATCAGAAAATTTTAATAAAAATTTGGGGTGATTTCGGAGCCATTTTATTGAAAAAAGCATGGGCTACAGTACAGGGTATTTTCCAGAAAATGACTCGTTTCTAAAAATGGCTGTAATGTGAAAAATATTTGTCGGAATCAGCTCAAACTTTCTACACAGCATAAATACATTAATATGTATCAAAAAATGTAATAAAAAGTTGGGGTGATTTTGGAGCCATTTTATTGAAAAAAGCATGGGCTATAGTACAGGGTATTTTTCAGAAAATGGCCAATTTCTAAAAATGGCCGTAACTTGAAAAATGTTTGTCGGAATCAGCTCAAACTTTCTACACAGCATAAATACATCAATATGTATCAGAAAATGTAATAAAAATTTGGGGTGATTTTGGAGCCATTTTATTGAAAAATGCATGGGCTATAGTACAGGGTATTTTTTCAGAAAATGGCCAATTTCTAAAAATGGTGGTAACTTGAAAAATGTTTGTTGGAATCTGCTCAAAGTTTCTACACAGCATAAGTACATCAATATGTATCAGAAATTGTAATGAAAATTTGGAGTGATTTTGGAGCCGTTTTTTGTACCAGCATATAGCTAGTAAATTTGGAGTGCTAAAATTTGGCGAATGGACCTCAATTTTCCAAATTCCCCTAAGTTTTACTCCACTAAATTTTCTAGCCATACGGTATTTTTCCAAAAATGTACTCCTTTTAAAAATGGCTGTGACTCAAGAAATTTTTGTTGGAATCAGCTTAATGTTAGACATTATGCATCATTATCATCAATAATGTATCATTAATCATTTCTGATTGATAATTACTATAGCATGCGGATCCAGACCTGAACTATAATCTCAAGGATCTCTCATTCATATACAGAAGATCTATATAGACTGCATGGGCTTAGGAACTAAGGACTTAATCACTATCAGACTGGTTTAATAATTTCATTAAGGTTGACTTGTTTGTGTATAGTTATTACTCTAGATGTATGCTTGAATTGTGTCTAATATTATTTTGTCATTATTCATGAATTACTCTCAATTCTGTTTATACTTCATAGCACCTGCTTCTGCATTGATGGCTCTCGCAATAATTTTAATCAAAATTCAGAATCAATTTTAATCATAGTAATAAAAAATTGTGTATTATTATAATGAACAGCTTCAAAAACCAACCTATAGCAATGACACACTAATATATATATATATATATATACATAACAACTATAATTATACTATACCTAACTATCTCAATGTAGTCTTCAATAACAGAGAATTGCACTTATCCTCTTAATGTCATTAACCTAACAATGGAATGTAATTCATCATACATAGTTACTGTTAGTATCCATTCTTCTTGTATGTAGTGCTCTAAAGCAACGCTTAGATTCAATGAAACGATCATTTTGCATAGGTGTTGATGCAAGAATGCTTTAAAGTTGACACAAAATTGGCCAAATTTTAATTTTGCGTTGATTTGCATTGCGTTTTATGGCAAGTGTAAACCAGGCTTTAGCATCACTAGCAGTAGTAGCCACTAGTGATCCCAGGCAGCGCCACATGGAGGTGGCACTACATTGCTGCCCAACCTGCAATGATAATTAACAATATATATTGACACTAACTGAATGGACTTCAACCTTTAACAGGAACTTGGTATTGAAATTTTGATCTTTCATCAATGGTTTGGGTCTAAAAGAATGACTTCATCTTGATGAAACCTTCTCCTCAACCACCTCATGTTGTGTAGGAGCATCACTGCTGAATCCTCTACCATTGACTTGTGCAATAAGCAACTTAATAGGATCACCAGAGACTAAAATGAGGAGAGAAAGAATCATAATGCTAAGTTATTGCTGCACTCATTGTACATACCAGAAATACAATTTGTGTTGTTTCAATTGCTAGTAAAACTGTTAAGTAGAGATGCATCCAGTCACTAGCACATTGACTCTATGCACAATAGAATAAGAATAATAATTAAAGTGATTAATATTCAATTCAACTAACAAGATCTGTTGTATCAAACAGTACTACTGTACTATTGAATTCACTGCAGCTAAACTAAAATTTAAAATTAAAGAATAATAATAAAGGAATATAGTCATTGATAGAAATGATAGTAAGAGTCCAAGTGTTAGAATACAGTACTGCAAGTAGGAATAATATCAGTGATACTGCATGCATTGTATTGTATCTACTCACTGCAGGATAAGTACGTATGTGGTGCACTAGAATAGACTACTACCAATTCCAAAGCTAGCTGTAGATATAGAAGAAAATAAGAATTTAATCATAATCTATCGTCTATACCAATTAATATCTGAAGTATTGAGATGCATAGGACTCCAATCAAATAATGCTTCACCTATAGCAATAAAAGAATGAAGATCTTGACACATTTTAATTAAATTAGACATCATTGCAATTGTTATTGTTTTTATAACTTTACACTAGTACTAAATACAAGAGATAAAAGAAAGTGACACCTGATACATATAGCAAGTGAGAGTTGATAAAATAACATCATAGACTTTTGGTGATAGCATATGCTAGTAATTATAATAAATAGCAATGTCGAAATAAGTTAACATAGTCATAAACATAATTCTTACTTTAACTGCATTTGATTCCAATACATTAGTAGCAATAACAAGTATTGCTACACAGAATCCACTGGAGCCACAAGCAAGAATCTAACAAATACAACACAGGATAAAGGAAGGAATGCTAATCATTAATACCAGCTCAAGTATTTTGATGCATATCATGAAGGACTTCTGCCATGATATCTTTCTACTGTAGTCTTCATTGAGTTCAGTAAGCGTCTATGCAAATACAGTATAATACAGTATTTATGGTATGATTAGCAAGCATAGGAATAGGAGTGTTTACTTGTCTTAGGTCTTCACTAGCACTCATCATCCAGCCACACCGGCACCACCAACACAAACAACGCCCACTCATGATAGATCACGTGACCCAATGTGGGAGTTAAGTTGCTTAGGCATAGGCCTGCCTGCTGATGGCTTGGTTGTTTAGTTCTAAAAATAAAGATAGTACTACACGTAAGTCCTAATGTTACTATTCCAGTATCATGTACTGTCAATCTTTGATTATAGATCAACTGAAGGGAAGAGCTGCTCACTGCACTGTATCAGTAAGTGATTCACTGTATGTGTGGGGTGGTCATCAGGATGGGTTACCTAAAGTACATGATAGTGAAGAGAAGAGAAGGATCACTAGTAATATACAGCACTTTACTCCTTCAACTGGTCAATGGATCACTAGAGGTACTACTGGTACTCCTCCATTAGGAGCGAGGTCATACTCCTGTACTGCAATAAATGATCTATTGTATTATTTTGGAGGACGGTGTAGCCATGATGGCTGCTATCACAACAGTATTACACAACTGGATACTGTTAGTCTTCAATGGAGAGAATTGGAAGCAACTGATGCAACTAGACCAGTTATGAGGAGAGGTGAAGGTGGAATGATATTATTTGAACATGATGGAGTACACCATTTACTAATGATAGGAGGACTAGGATCTAAACCAGCTGTACAACTACCTCATTATAAATATATTGAGAGATCTAGTGGAAACTGGCGTACTAATGAGCACTCAATGTATAATCTATCATCAAGTAAGATTTTATATTACTGTTTGAAATTATGTTAATCATAATAATTTAGGAAAATGGAATAATCCTTCAATCATTGGTCAGTGTATACCACCTGCTAATAGTTTTATCGTTGAAAAGATCAACAACACTAGAGCTGTTCTGTTTGGTGGAGCAGAGGCTGATGATGATGCTATGACCACTAGAACTAACAATATTTATATATTAGAGATATCAATCAGCACTGTGGTATGTTAAATTACCACCGGTTTATTTTTGCGGTGAAATATTTTTGCAAATTTTGTGGTTTCCTGCTGCTCCTTTGCGAAATTTATTCGACAACGAAATTCTGCATTTCCATTGCCATGTAGTACAGACTGCAAGCCATTTCGTGAAAATTAATTCCGCGAAATCTTAGAAATGCAAGATTCACAAAAATTTTCTACTGCGAAAATAAATTGGTATACGGTATGTGTACTGAATGTATGCACACACACATACACACACACACTAATGTCATTGTTAATGGGTGTGGTGATTTTATTTTTAGTTCTGGCAGTGTATAAAGAAACCTGAAGCAATAGACCAATGGCCTGTGGGTAGATACCATCATGCAGGTGCTATTATTATAACTGGATCAGACTGTCCTATGCTAGTGATAAGTGGTGGGTTGGATAAGCATAATGATACATTAGATGATTGTTGGATCTTTAACATCACTCAACATTCCTGGATAAAGGTATGTTAGATATTATTAATAATTGATCTGTACAGTGAGATACATGTAAATTATTAATTTCTATTAACAGTTAGATGTACCTCACTCTGTTAGTAAGAGAAGGTCTCATTCTCTCTCAGTGTTCATTATGAGTCCTTATTGTGTCTGGATAATAACTGCTGGAGGAGCTGTTGATATGAGTAGGACATTAGTCACTAATCCTAGCATTGTTATGTTAACTGAACTAGGTCAGTGTATTAGTCACAACTACCAATGAATACACCTAATTAAGTTATTTCCTTTGACATAATAAATGTGCATTAGATCCACACCTTCTTATTAAAATTATGATTAATATTGTATTTTAGTTACTAACAGTAAAGGAGAGTGGACAGTAGGTGATACATTAGATACCACTGGTATGAATAATGAAGAATACAAGAAGAAGTATCAGCAGCAACTACAGTACCAGAAACCAAGAAAAGGAGATACAGCCGATATTGAGCAAACCGTACAAGCTCTTATGAAGAGTCTTAAAGAGAAGGAGAGAGAAGCACAAGTTTATAGTCAACAATTGGAGCAGAAAGAAAGAGAAGAAGCAGAGAAAGAGCAAGAAATAAGAAGATATCGCCATCAGCTACAAGAGAAGGATAGGGAGCATCAGGTAGTACTACAGGAGAAGGATCTATTGATACAACAGAAGGATGAAGAGCATCAGAAAGTAACAGAAGAGGCATTACAACAGAAGGACAGGGAGAACCAGGAGGTATTACAACAGAAAGATATTGTGATACTTGAAAAGGATAGGGAGCTACAGGAGAAGGATAGGGAGCTACAGGAGAAGGACAGGGAGCTACGTCAGTCTCAAGAGGCAGTTCGTAGGTACCAGCAACAAGCACTTACTGATGATCACTGGGTTATTAATAAAGATGAGGTGACTTTGACAAAGGAGGAGTTAGGAAGAGGATCTTATGCTGTTGTTACAGTTGGTATTTTTAGAGGTTTAGGAGTAGCTGTCAAGTCACTTCATACTATCATCATCTCAGATTTTAATTTAGCTCTCTTCTCCAGGGAAATGAATATAGCATCACAAGTACGTCATCCTAACCTGGTCCAGTTTATTGGTGCAACTAAAGTGGGTAATCCTCTCATCTTGACTGAGCTGATGAGCACTAGTCTTAATCAGGAGCTTCGCAGAAAACAATTAACCAATCAACAGATTCTGAGTATTGCTCAAGATGTAGCTTTAGGCCTCAACTACCTTCACCTGTTTAAGCCTCAGCCTATTATTCACAGAGATGTGAGCAGTCCTAACATATTATTAAAGCCTTGCACTAGACCTGCTGGTTATGAAGCTAAAGTAGCAGATTATGGTACAGCTAAATTAGTACAAGTTGACAGTACTGGTACTGTTATGCCAGGCAATCCAGCATATGCTGCACCAGAAGCTCCTATTCCTGATCAACACAGTCCAGCAATGGATGTCTACAGTTACTCTGTTCTCCTTATGGAAATGAATTTGTGTTCTTCCCCAGAAATGACGACAGCAGAGAGAGAAGTACAATCTGGTAGTGTCTCCTGGTCTGATATGAAGTCTCTCATACAAAGAGGACCTAATGCTAATCCTAGAGCTCGTCCTACTATGGCTCAAGTAATAGAGTCA